TCTTTTGTCTTTCTTTCTTTTTTCTTTGTTTTATCACCTGTTGTTACTGTTTTTGACTTTGGTACCCTGTGTCTTATATATATACATACATACACACACACACACACACACACACACACACACACACATTTGCTTAGGAGAAGGGAAAGAGAAAACGGTGAGACAAAGGACAAAGGGTGAACCAATGCAACAGCAATACTCACAAGATACTATGTTAGAAATGAATTTTACAACTTGGTGGGGTGGAGAAGAGGAGCTGGGAGAGGGAAAATGGGAGAAAATGAGGGAGGGGTTACACTGTTCGACAAGAAATGCACTCACTACCTTACTTGTGAACTGTAACCCCTCTGTACATCACCTTTATAATACAATAAAATAGTACTAAAAAAAAAATTCAAAACCTTGAAGATCCCACTAGCTCCCTCTAGTTCCAAAACAGTGTGGTTTCTACTATTGCGTCTAGTGTGGGTGCGTGCGTGCGTGCGTGCGTGCGTGCGTGCGTGCGTGCGTGCGTGTGTGTGTGTGTGTGTGTGTGTGGCCAGTGTAGGGATTTGAACTCAGGGCCTCAGCACTGTACCTTAGAAGTCTTTTTCACTCAAGGCTGGTGCTCTATCACTCAAACCACACCTCTACTTCCAGCTTTTTGCTGATTAATTGAGGATAATAGTCTCACAGACTTACCTCCCTAGGCTGGTTTTAGGCTGTGATCTTCAGATCTCAGTCTTTTAAATAGCTAGAATAACAGGCATGAGCAAACTGTTTCCACAGTTTGCTTATTCATTCAACAAGCATTTATGACTCTCCATTGCACTAAATGTCAGGCCTATTGTAGGAGCCAGGACCACAACAGTGAGCAAACAGAGCCAAATCTTTTCCTTCACCAAACTTCCATTACAACAGGGAAATAGACAATAATCTAGACAGATAACTATATATCATATTACAGAGGGCCAAGTGTTAGGGGGAAACGTACAGGAATAGAGGAAATGAAGGAAATAAAGGCATGGGGATAGGAAATGTTGGGCAGACTGTGACTGTAGACCGGGTGGCCTGGAAAGCCTCACTGAGGAGGTAACAGTTGAGTACATTCTTGAAGGAAAGAAAAGATAGAGCTACGTGGGAGAAAAGCATTCCAGGCAGAGGGAAGAGCCAGCACAGAGGCCCCAAGGTGGTTGGTACACACGAGGTCCAAGAATGCCTTAAAGATGGTAGAAGGAGCCAGGCACCAGTGGTTCACATCTATAATCCTGGCTACACAGGAGGCTGAGATCTGAGGATTGCGATTCCAAGCCAGCCCTGTCAGGAAAGTCAGTGAGACTCTTATCTCCAATTAACCACCAGAAAATGTAAGTGGTGCTGAACTAGTTGCTAGAGCAACTAGCCATGAGTGAAAAAGCTCATGGACAGTGCCTAGGCCCTGAGTTCAAGCCTTTTGACCAACAACGAAAGAGGGAGAAGGAAGGGGTCACTTCAGCTTCCTGATTGAGCATACTATAAAATGGGAACATGGCAGACTGGGGCAGATGGCCCTCCAGTTTTCCCCCATCTTCAATCTATCCACGGCCTTCCAGTGCATCTGAGGGCAAGTCAGACTCACACCTCCCCATGTATGCCTACAGCCTCCTTGCTCTCCTCCTCCTCCTCGCCCTCCCCCTCCTTCTCTTCCTCCAGGCCTCTTTTTACTGCTCATCTCAGAGGTCAACAACTTCTGCTCTGGGGACAGAGTCCAACAGCTCTGTGCAGAGCCTCCCTTCTCCGGAGTCACTTAACAGGAGCCAGAACTAAAACAAAGACTTGCCCAGTCAATGTTTAAACTGAGAATTCTTTAGGCTTTGTTCCCCACTACTACCACATACTTCAAAGTCCCAAGGGAAGGAGAAAAGGAGGGGAAAGTTCATGGATCTCCTGCCCCGGCTTTGCCCAGGACGTCTGGAAAGCAACTCTGCCTGGAACCAGACCCTCCTTGGGATCAGAAGGATAAATAAATAGCTAACATATACAGGAGGAATCCACAGCTGACAAGCCTGCCAGGATCTGTGCCTCTTCGTTATAAAAGAGACACCCTTATAATGTCTTGCAGACTGGCCGAATAAATGTCTGCCAATACCATACCAGCATCATTCACATCCAGACGCACAATAGCAGCCAGCCCTTGGTATCCTTTTCTATAGGAGGAGAACTCAGTGAGGACGTAAGCACAGCCAAATGTGGTGATCGAGCATTTTAAATGTGGCCAGTTTAAATTGAGATGTGCTGAGAGTATAAAATACACTCCAAGCCGGGCGCTGGTGGCTCACGCCTGTAATCCTAGCTACTCAGGAGGCTGAGATCTGAGGATCACAGTTCAAAGCCAGCCCTGGCAGGAGAGACCGTGAGACTCCTATCTCCAATAAACCACCAGAAAACCGGAAGTGGCGCTGTGGCTCAAGTGGTAGAGCGCT